AGTTAGATTTCAAAACTGAAGTATTTTGGGAAAAGAGTAACAATGACATCTCCTAAGTTCCTAAGTTTACCTTAATTTCATTGGCCTTCTTAATTGGTGAGATATTCCAAGTTGGAATGACCTATCAAAGAGAACATCAGGAATAACATGTAACTGCCCTTCCTTTTCCTGATAATCAGAAAGCCCTATCGACTTAGTAAGTAGCTACAGTGGTCTACAGGTGTCAACTGTCACGGAACATACTATTCTCAAATATCTGTGGGGTTTATAATGCCTCACTTGTAGGACTGAGAGAGGAAGAGAGCCGAAAGCTGATAGTAGCCTTGGCTACGCCGTAAGTTCCAGGTCAGCCTGGGTCACAGTGGGGGACCCTGCCTCAACCAACCCTCCACCACCACCAACACCACCAGCAGTGGCAGCGGCAAAGCTACACAGAGAGAAAGAAAAAAGCACTAACCAGGATGTGACTTGGTTATTGTCAAGGATCCTTGATTCATGCCAGGGCACAGCATGAAAAACTAGTGGGGTGGCTCACACTTGTGATCCCACGGATTTTAGGTAAGCATTCTCACACTGAGTTAAGAGTCCCTGCCCACACGTCATTCTTTTTTTAAAGATTTATTTATTTATTTATTTATTTATTTATTTATTTATTTATTTATTTATTATGTATACAGTGTTCTGCCTGCATGTGTCCTTGCAGGCCAGAAGAGGGCACCAGATCTCATTACAGATGGTTGTGAGCCACCATGTGGTAGCTGGGAATTGAACTCAGGACCTCTGGAAGAGCAGTCAGTGCTCTTAACCGCTGAGCCATCTCTCCATTCCCCTACACATAATTCTTTCAAAAGGCAAACCCAGACCAAAACTGTTCAGGAATGTCTTCTCTATGAATAACTGAGATCGGGATTCTGTTTCCCAAGATAAAGAGACTCAGAACACATACCACTCCTTTCTCCACCACTTCCTTCAGCTTAGAGCGCGTCATCTTAGGCTCCTAAGAAGGGAAGGGAGACACAGGAAGAAAGTAGTCAATAAACATCGCCATGGGAATTTTCCAGTCTGAGATGTGCCAAGTTCCTTGCAAACTCCACATGATCTCCCACGTTGGAAAGTTCCCACGACATGGAAAGAGTGACGGGGGGGGCTACTCACAAACAATGGCATGTCTTCTGTCTCACTGATGGCAGCTTTCATCATGGCTACAACATGTTCATTTGTGATGACTTCCTGGAGGAGGGAGAAAAAGCCCACTTATGCCACGAGATTTGTCATCTGGACAATATTCATCTCTGTGGAATTGCCACTAGACCTTTGTGGAAGATAAGCAGAAGCTAGATCCTCAAACTGAGCTCAATAAAAGCAACTACGGATAAAGAAGGCAGAAGCAAGCCTTGAAACAGTGTTGCGGCAAATGGCCTGTTCATTACCTGCTGCTGGGACAGAAAATCTGCAGGCCCAGGTCAGAGTTGGAAGAGAACTATGTATCAAAGGCATTTTTTTAACCTTGCCTGTTGTGCGTGCTAAGCAAATAGTCTGCTAGCTCTCAAAGGCAGTCTTCACACATAATACACAAAACACTACTAACTACTATGGATGCTTTGCTGACTAGGAATCTTATTGATCAAACCAGTGGAAGGAAGTACAGGTAGTTCATCTTCTCAACACCTGTTCAGACTTCTCACTTGTACTGAGAGCAAAGAGAACGTATCCTTAGATATAAAACATTTTGTCACACTTAACTGACAAAATTGCTAATTCAGTACCAGGAGTCAAGGGACTTACAAGTCTACTTATTTGTACTCGTTGGGAAGATTCTAGGCTGACTACACAGCTGCCCATGGCTACTCACGTGCAGGATATTCCGTACATTGACTGCTGTCAGATTGTGCTGCTTAGCACCATCCTCTAAGGTACGATCGAGCACGTCATCCAGTTTCAGGTCATGTGCCACTGTCCCTTGTTCATGGCCCTTTCCATCTCGTTTCCTCTTGGTACCCTTTTTGGCTTTTTTCCTTTTATCACTTTCTTCATTCTCTTGTTCTTCTGCAAATAAACCAAGAAGAACGTCACCAAAATCTCCAGAACAACTTCTCTAGGAACTCCGCCCTAAATCAACAGTGGAAGGAAAACAACCTGCCTGCTGTCTGACTTTGAAAACCACACACCATGATGTAGCAATGGTGGTTTATTATGGAGCTGGTAACAGTACTACAGTACTGGTCATAACAGATAACACTAGGCTGGACATGGTAGTGAACTCCTTCAGTGCCATCACTAGGGGGACAGACACAGGTGGATCTCTGAGATCAAAGCCAGCCTGGTCTACATAGTGAGTTGCAGGACAGCCAGGGCTACATAGAGAAACCCAGCCTCAACCAAAGGGGAAAAAAATGTAAACGTCTCAGCAGTTTTGATCCCAGCCCTTGGGAGGCAGAGGCAGGCAGACCTTGGTGAGTTGAAGACAGCCAGTCCTACACAGTGACAATATGTTTAGAGAGAGAGAGAGAGAGAGAGAGAGAGAGAGAGAGGACTCAGCAAAAGGACTACGAACACTTCCAAGAGTACAAAGACAAATGATCAGAATGAGGAACGAAAGAACAGACTTCATTACAGGTCTCACAGACATTTACAGAGAGCCTGGGGAGCAGCCAGGTAGTGGAGCTCCTGCCAGAATGCTCAAATGCTTGACGCTCTGGGTTCAGTCCTAACACTGGGAAAAGAAAAGACTATTACGAGTAATTCTATGTCAATAAACTTGAGTAAATTAACTGAAATAGAAACATCTTGAGAGACATCACCAGTCAAAGGTCACTCAAGAAGAGCTGGACTGGGCTGTGCATATGGCTCAGATGGTAGTGTGCCTTGCACGCAGGAAGCTCTGCCTCAGATTCGCCAGAACCACGGGAAGCAAGGGGCAGTGACACATGTCTGTAACCTCAACACTCAGGAGGCAGAAGCAGGGCCATAACTATCCTCCTCAGCTACAGACCAAGGACCAGTCCAGCCTGAGCTCCATGACAAACCCTTCGCAAACTACAACACAAGAGGGGCAAAGGGAGAGAACAGATTATCGAATGTGGAGCAAGTTGACAGACCTGCAGTGCCTAATGAGATCGCCTCTTTCTTTAATAAAGGAGCCTCCAAGGTGGTTCAGTGAGCAATGGCACTTTCTGCCAAGTCTGACAACCTGAGTAGTTCAATCCCTGTAGCCTACAAGCTGTCCACTGACTTCCAGACATGTTGTGTTCACACACACACACACACACACACACACACACACACACACTTTAAACAAGAGGGAAAGGGGTGGAAGGAAGGGAGCAGCGAGATAGGTCAGTCGGTGAACAGACTTGTTGCAAAGAGACCTGAGTTCCAGCCCTTGGTCATAAACGGTGGAAGGAGAAGGCAGACTCCTGCAGGCTGGGCTCTGACCTCCATAAGCACACTCTTGTACAATCGCGCGCATGCGCACACACGGTAATACATTAAAATGCAGTAAAGTATGTTTCAAATGAAAGAGAAAAGGGAAGAAAAAGGAAAGGAAAGGTAAAGGGAAAAGAGATCATTGAAAACCCTATTATCGGGGCTGGAGAGATGGTTCAGTGGTTAAGAACACTGGCTGTTCTTCCAGAGGACCTGCGTTCAATTCCCAGCACCCACATGGTGGCTCACAACCATCTGTAATGAGATCTGGTGCCCTCTTCTGGCCTGCAGGGATACATGCAGACAGAACACTGTATACATAATAAATAAATAAATAAATAAATAAATCTTTAAGAAAAAAAGAAAGAAAAGAAAACCCTATTCTCTACTAAAAAAAACTCAATTTTGGGCCAATGAGATGTTTCAACTGGGTGAAGATGCTTGTCACCAAGCCTAACAAACTGAATGCCATCCCAGGGCCCACATGATAGAAGGAAAGAACCACCTCTCCACTTTGTCCTCTGACCTCTACAAAAGTATGTCCCCACAATCAATAAAATTTTTGCTGGGTGGTGGTGACACACACACCTTTAATCCCAGCACTTGAGAGGTAGAAGCAGGAGGATTTCTGTGAGTTCCTGTCTACATAGCGAGTTCCAGGATAGCAAAGACAGAGGAACCCTGTCTCAAAAAACAAAGAAGCAAACAAACAAATTAATTAATTAAATAAAAATTTTTAGATTGAAAAAGAAATTGAATTTGTACAGTTAAATCCTTGCTACAAAGAAAATTCCAAGGTCAGAAGGCTCCCTGGAGCATTCTATGGAAGAAATAATTTGTAGTAGAAAGAATACAATTTCACTCACATAGACTCTTTTAAAATTATTTTTGTCATTTACATATCGGGGTCAGACCCTACTCAAAACAAACAAAATAAGGCCAGTGGCGTGGACCACATGATACCAGTACTGCTTGACAATGTTCCAACATTTCAACATTGTAGTATTGCAAACCACATGTCTCCATGACCTTTTTAATTTTTTTAGTCATTTTCACGTTTTTTGTTTTGTTTTTTGCTTTTGTTTTTCAAGACAGTTTCTCTGTTTAGTCCTGGCTGTCCTGGAACTCACTCTGTAGACCAGGCTGGCCTCCAACTCAGAGATCCATCCGCCTCTGCCTCCCCAGCACTGGAATTAAAGGTGTGCCCCACCACCACCCTTCATGATTCTCATTATTAACGCCTTTCCCCTTGGGAAATTTGTGCAGGCTTTGGTAAATGATGGAAATGTGTACAACGGTAGCCTCTCTAAACAAAACTATTATGTGGTGGTATTGTGTTCCCGAAAATATTGTGTACCCTAATAAACTTACCTGGGGTCAGAGCACAGAAAAGCCACTAGATACTTAGGATAGGCATTAGTAGCACACACCTTTAATCCTAGCATTCCAAAGGCAGAAATCCATGTGTTCAAGGATACAGCCAAGCATGGTGACTCACACCTTTAATCCCAGAAAGTAAGCCTGTAATTCCAGGGAGTGGTGATAGAAAGCAGAAAGGTATATAAGGCGTGAGGACCAGAAACTAGAAGCATTTGGCTGGTTAAGCATTCAGGCTTTTGAGCAACAGTTCAGCTGAGAGCCATTGGGATGAGGACACAGAGGCCTCCAGTGTGAGGAGACAAGACCAGCTGAGAAGTTGCCCAGACAGTTACATCTACACTATTCTTTGGAAAAAAAAATCTGCCACAGAACCAGGAATCCCACTGTGCTCTCCTAAGTATACCAAAAACAGCAAAGTTAGAGATTTACTAAACACGCCTGATCCCAAGAATGAAATGCCTACAATCCAGATCCAGAGTCTGAGGCCATTAAGGACAAGAGTTCAATTAATAAGTACAGAGCAATCAGAATGGTACGGTATAATGGGAAAAGAGCAAGACATCAGGACCTTCCCTTTTGGGAGCATGTGAGGGGAAGAGGCTCATATAGAAAGACTAAGACACGAAGGGACACAGTTAGGGAACAGCTCAGTGCTGATCCCCTTGAGGAATGAAAACTGATCTTAAATTGTAGTGTCTGATCCCAGAAGAAGTCCTTTTTCCAATGTCTGGCACTTAGATAAGAGCCTCCATTCCCTGGGGGCTTGAGGAGAGTTCCTACTTACTAAAACAATCATTACCTTTAGCTCTGGCAAGAACTTGTGGCCCTTCCAATAACATATGATTGGTGCCTATTAACTTGTCAAGGTTGTTAGTTATTTGGCGGCGCTCTTACCCTGCCAGGAAATGTCACGAAACATGACAGAATCCAGTAACAAGAGTTTTATTAAGATAAGAGAGAGAGACAGAAGTGCTCAGGCCTGTTAAAGAGACATGTGCATAAAGAAGGAAGCCAGGAATATGGCGCCGGCTTATAAAGGCTGGGTTGCACGTACACAGGTTTATGTGGCTACTCCACTCATGTGCGTAGATCACATGGTTATGTCGCGTGCTTTACACAGTCATGCAAAGCCTCGGGGTCCTGGTCACACAAGACGTTTTAACCTGGAAATGGTTATTTTGACCCGGAACTGGCTAGGCAGAAGTGTCTAGGTCCGCCAGGCTTGCGCAGTCCCGCCCACCTGTGGGGGCGTGTTGTGAATCTATCATCCCTGACTCTTCTTTTTTAAAAATGGCCACTGAGCGGCTCCTTAGATCCCAATATTTTAAAGGAGTTATCTAATTTCTGCCAGCGAACAGGCAAATGGAAAGAGTTACCCTATATAACAGCTTTCTTCTTTCTCAGTGCTAAACCGTCTCTTCTGGATTTCTTCTCTCTGCTCATGTGCTCCTAGCTATGCCTAAACCAGAGGATCCTCTGACTCTGGAATCTCTGACTCTAGATCCTGCTAACGAACCTCCACCTATCCGACCTCCGGCTCCCACCCCTACTCTTAGGGCGACTGTTCCTTCAGCTCCTCTTCCGGATTCTTCCTCAAAAGCCGATTCTTCCTCGGCAGCAGCTGCTCCTCCCTCAGCAGTGGTTGTTTCCAAAGGCCCTGCGCTGGCTCCAACCTTCACTCCTCCTATTACCCATTCTCGAACTGCTCAATTGCCCGATTCCAGCCATGCAAACCCTTCCACTGTTCTCCCTTTGCAAGAGGTGGCTGATGTGGATGGACTGATTGAAGTTCATGCTCCATTCTCTCTCACAGAAATCTCTCAGATAGAAAGTAAGCTGGCTTCTTATACTTCTAATTCTGCTTCCTTTATTAAACACTTTCAATATGTAACTCAATCTTATAGTCTCACCTTTCATGATATATACATGATACTTTCTAATAATTTACTTCCTGAGGAGTGCAGGCGAGTATGGCAACAGGCTAGGACCCATGCAGACGAGGTTCACCAGACTAACCCCTCACATCCTCCAGGAGCTGAGGCGGTTCCTGGCCAAGAACCACAATGGGACTGTAACACCCAGGGTGGCTGTCTAACCAGAGATAGGTTTATTACCTGTCTCCTGACAGGCCTCCGTAAGGCTGCCTTAAAACCAGTAAACTATGAAAAACTAAAAATGGTAATTCAGGATAAGGACGAAAATCCATCTCACTTCTTAGAGTGGCTGACCAAGTCTCTACT